CGAGTGCAACTTGTTACACTCCTTTATTGACACCTCTGCATCCGACTCCCAACGTAAGCACTTCGAGACTGTAATAGCGGAACTTCAGGCTACAATTACGAGCCTCCGAGAACAACAGGCGCAATCAAACGCCACCATCTCAGAGCTACGAACTACCATCGCAGCTCAAGGCGCTACCCTACAAAAACTTGTCGGCACATTTGCAGTAAATCCCTGTAGTCAAACCCACGGTACTCAGATCAGGGGTGCAAAACGTAAGGCTACTTCCGAGGCAAAACGCCCTAAAGCAACCGGCCTTTTTAACGACTCTTCATCTTCATCCGAGTCAGAGTCCATAAAGGACCCTGAAGAAGTAACTCCGGCACCTAGCCTCACACAGCGTCTAACAGCACCTCCACCAATCGTCATTCGCGAGTCTAATCGCTGGCCAAAAATACACTCGGCATTGACAGCCGAGAACATCGAACTCCGCAAGGCAGTCAACGTTATCGAAGGTGTTAAAATCTACACCAAGACAGTCGACGACTTCAGATACATAACCTCTGAACTGGAGAAGAGCAAAGTTGAATACACGACCCATCAACTAAAACAAGACCGCAACCTCGAGGTCGTCATTCGCGGTGTTTTACAACACCTCACGGACACCGAAGTTCTCAAAGAACTTCAATCCAAAGTACCATCAGATAAAAGCGTTCATCGTATGCGCAAAGGTAACCAGGTCTGGCCACTAGTCGAAGTTCACCTCGACCCCACCTATGAGTCTAAAGCAGCCATCTTTGGAATTCACTTAATCGGCGGCATGAGCGTAAAAGTTGAACCGAAGAAAAAGACCAAAAGTCGCTCGTTGTCCCTGTCCCTGTCCCAAACAACGCACTACACGCAGTCATCTAGTCAGCTGTTTCCGAATTCGTCGCCAATCTTACGGCGGCCATTCTGCAAACATCATGAACAATCCAAACCTCCGAGTTCTAACGCGGAATGCACGAAACATTCGCAACAAAGCTCCGGAACTCGAAAAATTTCTCGACACCCAGGAAATAGACATCGCTTGTCTCACCGAGACGCACCTCAAGCAAAAGGACTCTTTTTCCTGCCAAACTACATTATCTTCAGACAAGATCGTCCATATGAGAAGGCTTGCGGTGGTGCCATCATCCTCGTTCGCAAAGGCATCCGTCACTTAGCCGTCCAAACAGACTTCGCTGCCAGTGAGGCAGTTGGGGTAGAGATACACACGTCGATATCACCAATCAAAGTGTTCTCCCTATACTCACCACCTCTGGACACAGACCTGACGTATCTTCCAGGATTTTTCCAAGGCATCACTCCTGCGCTAGTGACAGGCGATCTCAACGCCAAGCTCACCTCCTGGGGCTGTGACAAAACCAACGCTAAAGGTAACGCCCTCCTGAAGATACTTGTCAACCATCAACTGACTCCAGAAGTGCCATCGGAACCCACTCACTACCCGGACAACTCTAACCACGAGCCCGACGTACTAGACATCGGGATATCTTACAAGATCTCGCTGGCCAAAGACCCCAGCGTTCTGAACGAACTATCGTCAAATCATCTCCCGGTTCTATTTGAGGTCCTACTGACTCCTCAAGTCTCTTCAATTCTAACACCTAAGTTAGATTGGCTACACCTGAGATACTGCCTCAAGAAGTCCTCGTTTAAATGCAGTAAAATATCTAACCCCGTCGAACTAGACTCTGCAGTCGACGACCTAACCACGGAGATACAATCTGCGGTGAACATCACCACTTCTTTCTGCCCACAAGAAAAATCTCGGCTAAAACTTCCGGTCAAGATCCATGACCTCATATCAAAAAGAAACAAGATTCGAAGACTTTGGCAGCGTCTCCATGCCACTTACCTCAAGTCTCTCTTTAACTCTTTCCAGCGCGAGATTTAATCTCAGCTAATCGAATTTCGCAGCAGAAAATTCAACCTCTTCATTGAAGAAGCTGAGGCCCACCCAAGAAGTGCCTGGAAGGTTATAAAGAAGCTCCACAACAGGAAAACAGCTATTCCCTCCATTAAAGCTGGAAATGCCACTCTGACGGTGGATTCTGACAAAGCCGAAGTGTTCGCCGACTCCCTGCAAAAGCAGTGCTTACCATTCCCCAGCCTGGAGGACCTGGTTAACACACACCATGACATCTCCAACGAAGCGCTTAGCTTTACTCTTACATCAGCCGACTTTCATCACTGCAACCCGGCTGAAGTCATCTTGGTCATATGCAACCTCAAAAATCAAAAAGCCCCTGGACACGATGGTATACAGAACAAGACTCTGAAAATCCTTCCCAGAAAGCACCGTGTCGCACTCACCAACATCATAAATGCCATCATGCGACTCAAGCACTTTCCTCGAGTTTGGAAAGAAGCTGTGGTCGTCTTCATACCAAAGCAAGGCAAGCCGCTAACAGCAACCGAAAGCTACAGACCAATCAGCCTTCTCCCAGCACTTGGCAAAGTTGCGGAGGCAGTCCTGCTAACCAGACTGGAAAACTTCACCCTTTCTAACAACATTATTCCGGATACACAATTTGGCTTGCGGAAGAAACATAGAATAGGTCACCAGCTACTACGTGTGGCCGAATTCGTCGCCAACAAACTGAACAAACGACATCACACAGCCATAGCCTTTCTGGACATCCGCTAGACCTTCGACCGAGTCTGGTACGAGAGTCTCATCTACAAACTTACCCAGCTTGGGTGCCCACACTATCTCATTGGGGTCATACGCTCCTACTTATCAAAAAGATCATTTTAAGCAAGGATCGGTAGCTCACTCTCTACATCACGAGTTATGACAGCTGGAGTTCCCCAAGGGGCCAAGCTATCTCCACTACTCTTCAACATCTTCTGCCACGACATCCCACACGACGGTCGCATTGTAACTGCCTTATACGCAGACGACATCGCCGTAATCCGCTCAACCAAGACAATTCTAAATTGCACCAACCTGCTCAACAAGCATATCATCCGCTTGACTGAATGGTACAAGTCCTGGCGTCTTCCCATCAACGAGGGGACAACCGAAGCGGTATTTGCTTCCAAGCGAAACCGAACTCCTCCTTCGATCATGGTCAACTCCCACCCAATCAAGTGAAGTAATTCCTTCAAGTATTTTGGCGTTACCTTCGACAGAAAGCTCACCTGGAACAAGCACGTCTAATGCACCCAGCACAAGGCAAGGGCTGCCTTTTTGTTACTGCAACCATTTTTCAACAACCAAAAGATCTCTCGCCAGACCAAGTTACGTGCCTTTTTAGCAATCATCCGCAGCATCTGCACTTACGCAATACCCATCTGGAGCACGTCCAGCAGCTTAAAGCGCCTTCAAGGTACCTTCATGAGGCTCTTAAGATCGTCTCTAGGCATCCCTTGGTTTATCAGGAATAACCAAATACTACCGGAAATTTCCATAATATCTCCAGCTCAAGCTGCGCCAATCTTCGCAGCAAAACTCCGGGAGTCGGTGGTTTCACACACAAATCCCTTGATCTCCTCACTTGACGGCTACACACCTAAATCTTACGACTGGGTGAAACGCCCCTGCAACCTGCTAGTCACTCAGAACTAGCAACTCATCCGGCACATCCCTCAGTGCCACTAGCTAGTAAGGAATTTCAATTATTATCATTTGGGTTACACCCTATTCGAGTCTCGCACATTTTGCGTCAGCGCCAAACTAGTTCTACTCTACGAACGCTGTTTTGACCCCAACTCTCCGCAGTCCAATTTCGTTTCTTCTAATTTTTTTTATCCGCTTCTCTTACTTCCTTCTCTCTTTAGGAGTGTATAGCCAACCCGACAGGTCCTCCATGTGGGGGTAGGTTTTAGCCAGTAAGAATCTGGCACTATCTTTCTATCTGGAAGGTGCCTATAGAAGGTTTCCTACACCAAAAAAAAAAAAAAAAAATCTATGCCATCTACAGCCATCTATGCTTCGTGGGCGATATAGTCTAAGCCAACTCGCTGAGTACTAGCTGGTAACTGTGAGTAAAAAGAATTGCAACCGAATGGTTAAGTAAAGCTCGTGAGTCGTCTTTTTTGACGACTCTTCATCGTAGAGGTAGTAAGACCCTTAGTGGTGGCCTCGAAGATGTGCTTCATCTCGTATCAGGAAATTTCGATTTGACTTGAATTATTCTTTTGTAATACCAGGTAGTTTATGTACTTTAATATTAAAGTATAAGTGCTGCATGGTGTAAAATTATTAATTAATTGATGATAAAACGAATTATTTAGTTCATAGATATAAAATGAGATATTTTTGTAAATTGGAAATAATCGTACTGCGATCATCATTCGATTATTAGATTTATTAGCATTTTCCTACTTATGATTAACGTTTGAGCAATTTCTTAGAATAGCTGGTCATTCCTGAACAATCGAAATTAGAAATGCTAAGACAGATGTATTTGTTTTCTCTTCTTGTTTCATTATGCTCTTATTATTCCTATATAGGTTGAGTTTCTTTTTTATTGTTTTATTTTGAGATATATTGAGCTAATATCATAGCATATTAAAAATTATATTTGAAAAAACAATTACCAAGTGAAGAGTTGTCGTAGTGAGATCTCTAATTTTTCTTTTATTTTGCAATTAGGAATACTTGGTTTCTGACGTCTTGTTTTTTTTTCACAGAAGTGATTTCTTTTCTAATTATTGGTAGAGACACTACTAAAAGTTTTGTTTGTAATTAAATTCCAAGATTGCTCATTAAAGTTTATTTGAGAACACGTACATTATACGAGATCAAGTTAATAGACCTGTACCTCTCCTTGTTCAGTAAACACGACACAAGCTGTATAGAAGTATATATAATTTAATTGCATATCTCGACGCCTCAATCGAAAACTATCCCGACTCTGGGGTATCTCGAATACTATTATCCTACTCTACTGAAAGGAATAAAATTACAGCGTAATCGGCTGTGACGAAAAGAATTATAGTGTTATAGGCTTAACGAAGAGAATGACAGCATGCTTAGTTGCAACGAAGAGAATCACACTGCTCTTGGACGTGACGAAGAGAATTACACCGCTCTTAGTCATGTCAAAGAGAATCACAGCGCACTTTGTCGCGACGAATACAATCACAGTGCCTTGGGTTACGACGAAAACAATCACAGCTCTTTGAGTTGCAACGAAAAGTATCACAGCGTACTCGATTATGACGAAAAGAATCACAGCGCACTTAGTTGCGACGAAAACAATCACAGCGTACTTGGTTATGACGAAAACAATCAAAGCGCTTTTGGTTACGACGAAAAGTATCACAGCGTACTCAGTTATGACGAAAAGAATCACAGCGTACTTGATTATGACGAAAAGAATCAGAGCGCACTTGGTTGCAACGAAAACAATTACGGCGTACTTGGTTATGAAGAAAAGAATTACATAGTACTTAATTGTGACGAAAAGTATCACAGCACGTGGTTGTGTCGAAAAAAATAATAGCGTGCTCTGTTCTGAAGAATAAAAAAAATTGCATTGTGTTGCAATGAACAGAGAATTATAATGATTTTTTTCAAAAAATATTTCGCTTTTTTGGTTATTAACTACAAAACTCTTAACTATTCAGGAATAACAATAATGTAAGAAACAGCACGTAAATATTTATTTTAGTTGTGCTGAAATAGAAAGAAAAAAAAAATTTCTCAAGATGTGATATGAATGTACTAACTACGGTATTTACCAATAGTCTTTTACCGATAAAATTCTTTTTTGTAGGGTTTTGAAAACCTGACACTCATCGGCAAATCATTGTTTAGAAAAGTTAGTTTTTTTTTAACTCGAAAAAAAAAAAAAATGTTACAACTTACGTTTTACCCGTTTTTTCTCTTCCACAATTTTCCTTCTTTGATGAGTAATATATGAATGATATACGTATCTCTAAAACTCTTTTTGTCTTCACGCTCTTAAATTGCCTTTTATAACCATGATAAAAGAATACAGTCATCTTTGAATTGGCTGTACAATAATTTTATGTTTACTGATATACATTTTAAATATAAAATTTCCATACAATATGTTGATAAACAATATTTTTTATCCTACATTATCTTATTTGCAATTATTTGGTACAAGTAATTATCACAGGTATTAACTTATCGTTGGATATTACTTAGTTTTGATTGATTAGTCCATTTGACGCTACCTATAAAACGATGTTAACTAGTGAAATAATACAATCAAAGGAAAATTACAAAAATGTGTACAAATAATAAAATATACCATTCAGTCAGATCTTTTACGATGTTTTTATTAAAAGAACAAATTAAATACCATGGTAGTGTGGTGAATAGAAGAATTAAAAAAAAATCTTTTAAATATGATTCTGATCTTGGACGATTGATTGTTACGAGGCACTAGTCTCTATATTTGTTATATGATTGGTTATGAGCTATCAACTGAATCTTTAAGCCTGTTTTTTGAAACATTTATTATTTAGACTCATTAAAATAAGAAATAGTTGATGAATTTGACAATATCACAATCATTTATAGTTAGATTATTAATGTGATTATAAGTTAAAAAAAAGAATTGTGATACTAAAGAAATTTTTTGGAAGATTTTTCACTTTTCATGTTAAAAAATATTGAAACTACTGTAAAATTGTTTAATTTGTCCAAATGTTACTTTTAAAGTTATCTAAATAAATTTTGAATAATATCAGAAATTAATTGGA